CATAAATACAGTTGCAAATACTGTATGTTGCTCTGTAGTTGGAGATTCGTCTCCAGCTGTGCTGATCAAACTCTCTGCCTCCAGATCCACAGACGATCTTATGTCAAAGGGCAGAGTCTCATCTCGGGAAACAGCTACCAGATCCCATTTTATAGGTGGTCTACGGGGAATTTTTGGCCGAGCCTACGAGTTCGGATACCTCACATTAAATTCCGCCTTGTGCTATATCTGACCGCGTGGGGCGATTATTTGATATCCTGCAGTTGGAGATTCATTGTGGAATTCACTTGACTCCCTTCTGGCAGTTGACTACTTCTACGCTTGGCTGGTGAATCTTATATGTGGTGTTCTTGTCCTAAGTATTAACGTTCATTACCAACCTTCGTTTGATTATTCTATTCCTTCCCTAGGTTACAATAATTATAAAGAGACGTTTCTGACATTTGTTTATAACATATGCACGTATGGTCAAAGTTAAATCATTTGTACAAATCTAGATAAAACATTGTTTTGACCCACTCATGTCTGTTTTGTACTGTTTTCTGATGAGGCGTCATGAATGGTGATATTCACTCTTTCTTTGTTAATTTCAACATGGTAAGAGATTTCTATTTTGGGTCAATACTGTTTCTTGTTTAAGGTACCCTCTGCACAGCGATGTTTTAGTTAACTAACTCCACGCGATCTTAAACAAAAGAATTATGATTACAAGGAATTGCCGCTACATAGAAATGAAAAGAAAAACAAACTAAACAAGATAAAACAAAATGTACGTTGTGCAAAGGGATGCGGATTTACATTTCCTTCTACTTTTTCTGAGTGTTCAGCTTATCAGTTGCCTGAGGTGGCAAATTTAAATAGGTCTCGTAAAAATGTCTGGGGTAGGTTAAACATCAGTTAGACGGTTAAAACGCCATCTAGCGGACACTGGTAATTGCAATTCAAGAATAAAGGAAGAAGCAGATGGCGGCTCAGATACTGCCAGCTGAAAAAGTCACGGACGAAGTCGCTTCTAAGCGGAGCATCCAAAAACAATGGCGGTTCAAATTCAGTTACGTCAGCAGATCTCGGATGAACTGAAGTCTTGAATGAAGTCTCGAATACAGTGAATTGTAAGTCAAACAACACAAAAGTAGAAATACTCATGTTGGCTTGAACGATGTTTGGGACGAAGTGAATAGCTAGTGAAATCTCGTTGTTTGAGGGGTTTTTTTTTTTGCTGGGGGAGGTTTGTTTAGTGGCATATCAATACCTCTATGGGTTATTTAATACTGAAATCTAAATATTTTGAACACAATTTTATAGCTTCAAGTAAATTTACTGAATGCAATTGTATGCCTTCAACTACAGATAAAATGTATCGTTGATTATGTATTGTCGGTGTTTTTATATAAAAATATATTGCTGGTATTTTTACTATTAAAATGTATTTTTATACTTTCATAGTATCTGTCTACATTTCTGAGATGCGGTATTATGTACACTATTTACATTATTCGAACTATTGTCCTCATCATTGTCGCCATATTTATTACAACCTTTCGGCACTTCAGTATATGCCTATATTTCTGAGATGAGGTATTATGTACACTGTTTACATTATTCGGACTATTGTCCTCATCTTTGTCGCCATATTTATTACAACGTTTCGGCCGTTGTACGCTTGGGCCTTCATCAGGTGGTTGGCAGAGTGGATAAAGGCGTTAGTTAGATCAGTGACAGGACACCAAAAGTATGAGTTCAATACCCGGTTAAGGCAGTGGATAAATTGGATATGGTAATTAACATGAGATAACTGACAAATGGCATCCATCAAACATGGTACGTGGAACTAGAACAGTCTACACCAGTTAGTGAAATAAAGGGTTCAGTTCAACATTCCAACCACCTGATGAAACCCGAAACGTTGTAATAAATATGGCGTCAAAGATGAGGACAATAGTCCGAATAATGTAAATAGAATACTTTCATAGTGTTTTTGGTTGGGGGGGATCACGAACTTCCCATAGATTGGGACCTAACAGGCGCTACCACCCGAGAGCAAGGTGGACCCGAGAACAACAGAAATTAAGAGGGTGATATGTTTTCGGCATGAATACATCTTCCCCTGTAGGCATAGCACGGGACAGCCACCGACCGGTCAATGATCAGACCCTATTGCGTCTCCATTCTTGTTCATGTCAGGGTGCGCCAATAATCAGGAAGGACCCACTGCAAACGAAACATGAAGATGGCGGCTTCAGGACAAAAGAACAGTAAATAAAAAGTGTTCACTTTCATTAAAAAAAAAAGTTACAATGAAAGAAAAACTGTAAAATAAACAAACAAATGTTTATTGAAATTGCCTTCGATCAAATTTGGCCGAAATTATTCCTTACAAAAGAAAATCTTTCGTAACTTCCGATCATTAGTTTCGCAAAACAAAATTCATGCTAATTTCTGGTCTGATAATCAAATATTGATTGCCTTTAAATATGTCTCTCTCCACACGCACACACACGGGCATTCAAACATATGACAATTATTTCATGCAACGCACGCCACATACACACACACAATCACAAACACGCACGAACACACACATTCACTCTCTCACACACACAAACATATGACAATTATAGAAATGCGTACACAAATTTATAAAACACACGGTCACATAAACACAATCACAGACACGAACACAAAATCTCTTTCACCCACACATGTTTGTACGTTTGTGCGCATGCGCATTTACCAAGTAGTATTTCAGAATGAATATATTGAAATATGTGTGGCAATGGTAATAATGGCTGTTTCCCTATAAGGAGACATTTCGCATTTATTAACCGAGTAGCCATTACTGCTTTTCGGTGAAATTTATAAAATATTTCTCCTAAAACATATTTTTTAAGGAAAACAGGTTTTCTCAAGTCCAGTAGCTATTATCGCCATTGTGATCGTATATATCTTTGTCTATTTCCCCGTTGTGGTCATCGGGTATTAGTCCAGTTCTGTCTGGTCCTTTCTCGTCGATCTTACCGCCATGGGATGTGTAACTCCTGACGGCTTCACTCTTTGGGATCACTGGAACAAGTAAGCCCTCTACAATGACAAGGAACGACCATGTATATTTTAAAGTGGATCTCGGAGTGAACAATTCGTTATCAATCGTATCACTTTGATTTATCAGTTCTATACTGACAATAACAGAAACGAATCAATAAGAATAAAACCAATAAAATTATGAAATTATCATTAAATATATGAGAGCAATTTTTTATTATTGTTGTTGTTAAAAATAAATATTTGAGAGATAAATAGTATAAAGGAAGAAATTTACTACTGAACAAAAAATAACGTTACGGCTCCAATTTTTGCTCCAAATTTGAAAATACGTCCACCTCCATAAAAATGTTACGTTACCACAATCAATGAATAAGAAAAGGATAAAAGAATAAAATTATTGGCAAATGTTGTTAAAAATGTTTGAATGATAAATGATAGAGAGTGAAATTGACAATAGTGAACCAATATTAAATGATAAACAAAACAAAACAACTCGAAATGCATTTCGTAGTTTCGAAAAATTACGTCGCCCTCTTTCATAAAAAAAGAGAAATGTTACGCTTAAATATAAATTCAGAATATTCATGCCACTGTATAAGTAATTTAACAAATACATGCATTAAATTTTTCTGATATAACAGTTCTTAGTGATTACAGACATTCTTAATAAAGTAAGTAAATTTGCTAAAACACTTATTTTAAAAATAAAATCTGATGCTCAACTCCACGAGATTGCCTCCTTGCACCTGCTTCGTCTCACGCATTCCACTGACCTGAGGTGGAACAACTATATTTAATCAATAGCTTCATCTACCGTAAAGAAAGTTGGTTCTCTGTGTCACGCCAGAAGGTTTTTTCTCGTCTGTGTTCATCATTCAAATCTACAAACCAACCATTCGTCCTTGCATGGAATACTGCTGCCATATATGGCCTGGTGTCACCGCTGTTCATCTCGACGTCCTCGACAAAATCCAGAGACGGATATGCAATGTGATCTGGCATCTCGTCTACAGTCACTCTCTCACAGACGTGCTGTGGCTTCTCTCTGTCTTTTCTACAAGTATTTTCATGGCAACTGCTCTGCCGAGCTACTTTCACTGGTTCCCAAACTGTATGAATTTAAGCGTGTTACTAGGTTGGCATCTCGGTCCCACTCTTTCACTGTCGAAACGTTTAAATGTAACCACATCTTCTACTCGTACGGCTTCTTCTCTCACACTTCCCAACAGTGGAACTCCCTTCCTCTTACTTGCTTCCCTGATAGCTATGATCTTCAAATATTCAAATGTAATGTCAATCGACATCTTCTGAGGCCTTGATCCTGATCCCCGTCCTTCTCTATATCCTTTCCTCAAACACCCTTCTTTACTCTCTCTCCCTCTCTCTCTCTCTCTCTGTAACCGCTTGCGTGCTAGTGGCACTCCCGCATTCCTTGGGGTGATATGCTTAAAAAAAAGAAAACACTCGACGTATCAACTTCAAAAAATATGTATTTTAATAATTAAATATCATAAATGCATATAACAAAATTATAATAGACAAAGAAAAATATAAGAATGGAATAAGGATAATTAAAGACTTCTCATTTTAAAAAAAAAACAAAAACAAAACAAAGAAAACGCCATCTCTTTGTTTGAAAAATGTAAAAGCACGTCCATTCACTCCGACATCAGCATCTATCTTGGAAAACTACTGCGAATAACACAGGTGTATTTAGAAAAGAATAACGTTAAAATGAAAAATAGAAACAAACAAAATGAGATCGACATCTAGATACATTATGAGAATTTAAATTTAAAGCTGATCGTCTTTGTATCTTTAACGTTTTGATGTAAACTATAAACGAAGTTCATTGTATTCCTTCCTCGATATAACCCACTTAACCACATATAGGACTAATGATTTTATTGAAGTAGTCAGTCTAAAGAATTTCTTTTTCGGAATAAAACGCGTCACTAAGGAGTTTTTTCAATTTTGTCATGAATAGATAGATAGATAGATAGATAGATAGATAGATAGATAGATAGATAGATAGATAAGAATAGCCACAGACAGGTACATATGAATAGACTTAGATATAGAGGAATAGATAGGAAAAGATTTAAAAAGAAAGAAATAGATAGATAGATAGATAGATAGATAGATAGATAGATAGATAGATAGATTAGAACAAAACTAGATAGATAGATAGATAGATAGATAGATAGATAGATAGATAGATAGATAGATAGGGATAGACTTAGATAGATTCGTCTATTGTCCGGTTCATACAGCTCTGCTGTCTTTTAAATTTGAGTAGAGGTTTATGCCTTGTTGACTGTTTAAGCATTGTGTTTCTTTCTGAAGTCTTCAAATTATCTTTCACTCCAAGTATCCCATCGCGTCTTAGTGGCATTATCGCATTGATTGGGGTGAAAAGATTTTTACAAACAGTCTGCTTTAGATCGCCTATGACTTTATTGCAAATTATGTTTCACAAGAAAACTGAAAGGAAAAAAGTTTGTAACACAAATTTTTGCGATAGGTAAAAAAGCGTACGCTGAAATCAGCATTTGAAATCGTAACCTTGACCTGAACTTTAAACTTGCACCGCTGATGAAGAACTCGCCAGAATTTCTCCCTGTTTCACCAATTGATATTTGTGCTAGGCACTTGTTTTTGTGCAAGAATGCATATTAGAGATTATGGAACTGGTGCTAGACAATATTTTAAATGGTGGCTACTCACCTTCGGGCTTCTATCTAATCGTCTGTAACGTTCGCTTTTGTCTGGAGAGAATCAACAAGAACAATCTATGCAAAAAAGTCATGCACATCAGTAGAAAGAAAGAAAATAGTAAGTTGAAAAGATATATATATATATATATATATATATATATATATATATATATATATATATATATATATATATGTATGTATGTATGTATGTATGCATACAGGCTGCGATGGGTAAATTGTCCGCGTTTTATATTTTTAGTTTCGCTTGCGCGCGTTATTTGTTTTGTTTTTTTTTTTGTTTTTTTGTTAACAGCCCATTATAGGAGGGTGAATGAATTCATGGTGAGGAAAAGAGCACCATGACGCCATTCACCTAGACAGAAATTTGGAAACGGCATGCTGTACTGCTTAGCATTCGCGCCGGAAACTCCAATACGAACATTTGGGTGTCAATCTGAGGACAGTGCAGAGGATCCAGAAAGAGTTGGATGAGTCTAATGGTGTGGTAACTAGTGATGGCGACGTTATGCCTCCATTCATCTTCCCACGGGACCCCAGGCTCAACACGGGGTGCCTTGACAAGGTAGTACTGTCCTGGGTCAAGAGGGTGGCCGCTTGAAGGGTCTGTGTCTGGCAACAGACTCTGCACCATACCACGCAAGACAACCCAGTCTTGGCTTTCAGACAATTTCTACATCACCCTTATATCTGGCCACACAATTCTGTAGACATTAACTCCCTTGATAATTATGTGTGGGGCGCATTTGAACAAGAGTTGCAAGAGATCAACAAAACTCCTTGCAATACCAAAGATGAACTGAACGCAAGATTTATGGCGGCATTCGCCAACTTAATATATCGTATCCTCACATCAGGGTATTTGATAGCAAAATTAAATTTATTAAAAGAAACAATATATTAAAATTTATATAAGATTTCCGTAAATAAATTCAGTTATTCATTTAATGAGAAACCCTTTGATGTAATTCGGTTCGGGTAAGATACTAAAAATAACATTTTATTTGCTACAATTTATGTTCAGTCACTTGATATTGACCATTTTAATTCCAATGACTGTTGCGAACATCGTACCTTAGGGTCATCATCAAGTGCATGAAAATCCAGGTGACAATCCCGGACATTTCAAACTGAACTCTTTTATGTGATCATATGCGGTAGAAAAGAGAAAAATCTAGGCGTGTGCAGAAAAAAAGGAGAAACCTCGGTGAGTGCAATAGAAAAGAGAAACATCGGTGAGTGCAGAAAAAAGAAGAAACCTCGGAAAGTAAATAGAAGAGAGAAACCTCGGTAAGTGCAATAGAAAAGAAAAACCTCGGTGAGTGCAGAAAAGAAGAGAAACCTCGGAAAGTACAATAAAAGAGAGAAACCACCGTAAATGCAATAGAAAAGAGAAGCATCGGTGAGTGCAGAAAAATAGAGAAACCTCGGAAAGTACAATAGAAGAGAGAAACCTCGGTGAGTCCAGAAAAAATGAGAAACCTCGGAAAGTAAAATAGAAGCGAGAAACCTCGGTAAGTGCAATAGAAAAGAGAAACATTAGTGAGTGCAGAAAAAAGGAGAAACCTCGGAAAGTACAATAGAAGAGAGAGACCTCGTTAAGTGCAATAGAAAAGAGAAACCTCGGTGGGTGCTGAAAAAAGTTGAAACCTCGGAAAATACAATAGAAGTGAGAAACCTCGGTAAGTGCAATAGAACAGAGAAACATCGGTGAGTCCAGAAAAAATGAGAAACCTCGGAAAGTAAAATAGAAGAGAGAAACCTCAGTGTGTGTTGTCAAGTCAGGACAATTGGATTAAAGCGTTCTTTGGTGAATTTAAGGACTTAATAATTTAGTGTTCAATTCCTCGCTAGGTATTGCGTACTTGGACTCAGCAAAAAACGGGACATAACGGAGCAGTACAAGATTAGCCTATGTCTACCTGGACATGGTCAGCGAAACGAGGACAATCTACCACCGTAGACTAAATAAATGGTTTGTCTCGAAATTCTCTGGAGGTTGTCCGGATCGACAAGCCCCTGAGAAAAGCCGGGGGACAACGGCCGAAAAGTCATGATAATAACAGTGGAGATCCAAACAATAGTCCGCATCTAAATAATGTAAACAATGATAACTCCTCAACCCAAAAATTCAGACAGAAATTCCATAGCTGTCTCCAATAATTAGAATATCGTTCTCTTTTGAATTTATATTTTCTTATGACCCATGACAATCTTTGTGTCTGAAATTCTAAAATAAATATCATTAACTATATTATTACATAATAACTGAATGATAACATCTCAAGCTACCGAATAAGTTATTGTAAAGAGACTGGGTCGCAGTGAATTGAAACGTGCATTAAGAGAATAGTTATAGCAGAAGTATGGCAGACAATCGATATCCGATCAGTTTTGACTAGGTCACCATGGAGAGGGTGTATGATGTGGAAAGACTCGAAACCCCTAATGATCCTCAGCTAAAAACATCACTAATGTGGCGTGCCAAAGCATAAAACCGATGTATTTTAGGAAAATAAGATGAAGTTGAGCCAATATATCGCTATTATAAATATATCCTAAAAGCATTAACAGCCTCGTTCGGCTGAAACCAATTTTATTATGGAAATATTGATTTGCATAATAAAATGCTGCATAGTGTAGTAATTCTAGAATGAATCAGTTTATTACTTAATAACAATAAAAAGCTAAGCCCCCACTATATGTCCAGACAAATCTTATATTAATATTTTACCCCTCGTCGTAAAGTTTCCTCTTGTGACTTTTCTATAAATATTTTCGCTATGGTACCTAGACGGTATGAATTTAAGTGCAATACTAGACTGGCGGAGAGATCTTTTTTATATAAGCAATTCACCCCAAGCAAGGCGGGAGTGCCACTAGCACACAAGGGGTTGCAGAGGATTGAGAACAAGAGTAAAGAGGCGTGTTTGAGGAAAGGATACTGACAAGGACGGGGAACAAGCTCAGGGTGTCAGATGTCGTTTGACATTACACTTGAATATTTGAAGATTATAGTCATCGGGGAAACAAGTAACGAGAAGGGAGTTCCACAGGCGGGAAGTGCGAGAGAAGAAGCTGTTTGAGTAGAAGAGACGGTTACATTTACCCGTTTTGAAAGGGTGGGACCGAAATGCCAGCTTAGTAGCACGCTTAAATTCATACAGTCTGGGAACCAGAGAAAGCTACTCGCCGGAACAGTTGCCGTGAAAATACTTGTAGAAGAGACAGCGGGAAGCCATGGCATGTCTGTGAGAAAGTGACTGTAGACGAGATGCCAGATCAGGACCTATCGCATTGCATATTCGTCTCTGGATTGTGTCGAGGGCCTCGAGACGTACAGTGGGGGGGGCACAAGACTATATATGACAGCAATATTTCATGCAATTTACAGTTGAGCTGGCTAGAAGTTACCGTAAGTCCTATGCTAAAAGTTTCTTTTCAAACACTTCTGACTTGTGGAACTCCTTTCGGGCTTCATGCTTTCCAACCAAATTTAATGTGCGAAAATTTAAATGTAATGTCAGTCTTCTTCTTCTGTCCTCCTGATTACTGTTTTTTTAGTTCTCGCACCTTACTAATGTTTCTAATTTCTTCCATACGAGCGTCTTAGTGGCTTTATTGCCTTGTATGGGGTGAACTCGATTTAAACAATATATAACGTAGACATATCCTGGGAAGACATAGACTTGCATCATAAAATCTAATACAATGTAGTAATTCTAGGTTTATTACTTAATAACAATACAAAACTGTTCTCAAACTTTATGCACAGTAGAAACTTATATTATTATTTAACATAAATTCATCTTATAAGCTTTTCCAATATCGGTTGGTTAATAACAATTCTACAGAGAAACCATTGACTTGCATTAGAAAATCTAATATATTGTATATTAATTCTAGAGTGGAGTAGTTTATTACTTAATAACAATAGAAAAGTGTCTAGAAAACACTTATAATAATACTTAACGTAAGCACTGTTATGAATAATCAAGAATAGTCTCCCCTTGTTTTGTTAATTTCCTCTTTGAGAGAGCTATTTCCGTTTACTGGGACTATAAAAGGACACTATATGCAAACCTTGTATTCGCAGTTGAATAAATTTTTCTTAAAGCCTACACCTGTGTACTTTTGTCATTACAAACATATCTTGAACATGTTCCCAACATCGGTTAATTAAAACGAATTTTATTCAGAAAGCATTTATTTGCATTATAAAATCTGACCTGCAACTGAATAAAATACGATTTGATTTGAATTAAGTCAGAAATGTCTCGTTACGGGTTTACAACTAGATAGAGAGATTGGTCTTATACTTATTGTGTGTTGAATACTAAGATTATCACTTCACATTTGACCTTCAAGAAAAATGGTAAAAAGAAACGTTTCTGGATATGATTATCTATTGGTCATGTGACTCTGTCGTCTCTGAAAACGTGGGGATCAAAGATAAAAATCATTCATCATCACCGAAAAAGCAAAAGACCAAAGAAATGAAGAGTTCGTTTCAATTGATTGAATTCCACCAAGTGTTATTTTAAGAATCAAGGCAAAAAAAATATGAAGAATAGCAGAAGAGATACGCAAATGCTTTCAGCTTTGAAGAAGCAAAAGTTCTTTTGTATTGATGCTTTTGTATAACATGACAATGGACAGATACGCATTTTCTAATCGTAAAGAAAGTTGCATGAATAGGTCAGTCATTTAGACACAAACACGAATACAGGGTTTCCCAAAATAAGTGTATGCAACATGTATATACACAATTATACACGTATACAGTTGTATATAATAATAATAATAATAACAATGACGAGGACTGGACTCTGAACACTCTTGCCTGCTACGATGACTCCCTAATCCCTATTGCAGACGCCTGCTCAAGCATACTTGTGTTTGTTTAACACACACAAATCCTACGTGTTCTGGGAGAGAACGCATCATCTGCCGTGATTAACAATTTTAAGAAAGCCAGCATTCTCAAATGTATTTATATACACTGTATGCATAATTTTGTGGATCACAACATTCTGATAGACGGCAATGCATATATCTCGTATATAATGCGTTAAAAATTCCCTTCCTCTGCCGCGTGCGTTGATTGCATAAAGGTGAGAGACTCCGATTGATATCACATCGGTCGGGTTTCGATCCCGACTTGAAGCAATCACGTGTCTCGCTGCATTGATGAGTTGTTATAGGGATGAAATAGGCGTGCCAGTGAGAATAACAATGTGCTGTTGGAATAGAAAGCACTTACACCTTGTGATTGTTTTATGGAGCTATGTAAAAGGACAGGTTTATGTCCTCCACCTTTTCCTAAAGTATATGTTACGCAAGACATGCTACAACGTGTTTGGCAGGAGATGAACTACCGACTTAACGTGGGTCGCGTCACAGGTGGTGCGCATATTGAACGATTGAGATGTTTGGTGAAATCGGTTATAAAATTTACATCCTTTGAATGCCTAGTTCGAATTTTGACAAATCTTTTATTGTTTAACATGAAGTCTAATTAAATTCGTTAGCCTGGGACATGTAATTACTCTGATATTCACACTTGAAATCATGAATCACACACACACACACATACACACACACACATATATATATATAGTGCTCAATATCAGAGATAGATCGTGTGTAAATATAAAAGTGAACATTAAAGTCAACACTTATAGGTGACAGGCTGTTTCATGCTAGACGCAATTGTCAGACCACAAGGGCAGGGTATCGCACAAGGCTTCACACACACACACACACACACACATATATATTTATATATATATATATATATATATATATATAAAACTGCGCGGAAAGTGAATTCACCAAACCTAGTTCAAGTGTGTGTGTGCATTACGCATGCATGCGCGCGTGTGTGTATGTACATACCTGATATATCTATGCTTTTAACTAACGAACACGGCCAGTATATTATGCGCATGTTCGTCGTTGGTGTTATTAAAGATTTTTGTTATTTGTTTGCTTTCAATGAATTCGTTTTTTAGACATTTCAGGAATTAAAAATCTTACCAGCTTATTAGCAACATACACACATATTTGCAATGATACAAACAAAATACGAGGGAATGGCTAATATATACGCCGAAATTGTTCGAAAGGAACTGTAATTTAAAAATTTCTCTATGCACAATGTAACTAAAAGACATCTCTTGTTCGCACACATGGAAAACAATAAAAAATAACGAAAATACATATTCCCTCATTTTCATTGAAACATGTCAGAGAATGTTCGTTAAACACACATTCACATACACACACACAAATATATATATATATATATGATAAAAAATATAGCTTTAAGTTATACTATATTTATGAGTTAAAGTGCTCACTATCAGGGATAGAGCGTAAATAGATATAAAAGTGGACATTGAGGTCAAGACACAACGGTGACAGTTTTGTCATGGCTTAGCGAATCTTAAATCTGCAGATTGCGTTTATGCATGAGACAGATTTTTACCGCTTGCTGTTGACCTCAATGTCCACGTCTTAAACACCTACGTACACAGGCACACATACACATACTCACACGCACATATATGTGTGTGTACTGGGATATCGCGGTCTAACTACAACACGCATGCGCGAAACTGTGATGTATATTAGCCAATGAGGATGCATAAAGAATCCCTAAAATCTTAAAACCGTTCAAGCTTTCATTTCGCTCGAACGAAAGAGGACATGTTTTATTTTATTTATTTTTTTTTTTTTTAATGTTCAATTCAGAAATTGAGGATTGCATCAATTTTCGTTAAAACTTAACAAAATGGCGGCCGAATCTTTTTTTTTTCCGCTAACTAATCATTATTCAGAAGAATGCTTGTCATGAGCACATGTGTTCGAGTGGGACAAAAGATTTTCTTAAGGTCGGGTGGATGTCGAAGATGAACTTTTGTTCTGTTTAGATTTCCATCTAGAATTTGCCTAAAAGTCGCCTTATCCATGGAGACTATTATTGCAATCATTCTGCTGCTGAGTGATTGATCAATTTGAATGAGATCTGTTCGATGTTTTTGGTTCGTACGGACAATTTCGTATCGCTTCTGTATGAATTTAAATTTTACAAAGCCCCACCGCCGTCAACGCAATCACTATTTCACCAAAATCATTCTCAATTAATAAAAAAATAATAATATTTATGTTATTATCAGAACGCATTATGGGATCGTATTTCTGCTTGCGCGCATGACGAAATTCAAAACATTTTTTAAAATTGAATTTTTGAATTGACAGACTCATAAACCGGTTTTTATGGTTTCGTACATTATCCGAAGGCGCATTGGAATAGCTAAAGATGCCTTCTAAAAGCTAAGCAAAGTACTGATAAACAGGAAAATTGCATTATAAACAAATAAATGAACTGAACTATTATATAATATACATTTTCTTATATGACAGTAAATTCTGGACAATTTACTCGCAGATGAAGAGAAAAGAGGAGGCAACTATGAAAATATATTGCTGGTATTTTTATTTTAAAAATGTATTTTCATATTGTTTTAACCATAGTTTGAAGGTTGACGATTTGTCCAGATCTGGAACTATGACAAGTGCTACCACCCTGGGGTAAGGTGGGCCTGCGAACAATAGCAATTAAGAAGTGATGTTGAGAATAAGAGAGTTCATTATATATATATAATGTTTATACGTTCTTTTTATAAATACAAATATTTAAGTAAATGCTCTGTTAATAATAAACAGTATTCACAACATTTACCGGCCTGCATGTCCGAGAAATTTTCATAGAAAATATGCGTCCTACGACAGGAATCGAACCTGTATCCTATATGGAACCGTCATATAGCCTGACGTGTTTTATCGAATGAGCCACAGACGAACGTTTCGTTTAGCAAGGTAGATTTTACTGTTTTTAAAATAATTGTCGGTCTTTGTCCATTTCATAATGTATGACGTCATTTGTTTACATTTGGATACGCATCGAGCAGATATGAATGTACAAAAAAATCATGGAGAATTGTAGTTTAAAAACAGTAAAATCTACCTTGCTAACCGAAATGCTCATCTGTGGCTCAATCGGTAAAAGCAGGTCAGGCTATATGACGGTTCCGTATAGGATACGGGTTCGATTCCTGTCGGACGATGCATATTTTCTATGAAAAATTCTCGGACATAAAGGCCGGTAAATGTTGTTAATACTGTTTATTATAAACAGAGCGTTTACTTAAATATTTGTATCTATAAAAAGAACGTATAAACATAAAAAATGTCTTAAAATTATTGTCGGGTTTTGTCTATTTAATTATATATATATATAGAGAGAGAGAGAGAAAGAGATAGATTACATTTATATTAGCTGAAATTTAATGAATTCAGAATTTATATAAATGTTTGTGAGTGAGAGAGAAAGAGACACAGGCAGAGAGAGATAGATCTTAGACACGATTAAATACTTTTTAATTGTACATCTTGGTCAGGTACTGAGCTAGTCATATGATCCCGCCATGCGGACGAGAGTGTAAACATAAATTATCTCCGCATATGCGTACGGAGTTTGTACTCAGAACACGGAATGCGGTTCTCGAATTGTTCGCTCTTCTCTCGCTTATTTATAGATACGTTCGAGACGATGCCATTTGCAAAAGGCAAAGAAAATAGGTTTCAGTCTCTTTCCATTGCTTTTACACGTCTTTGTTTTTTCTACTTATTCTTCATGATTCTTCTTGCCCGCTCTGAAGACCACAGCTTTCCTCGCATTGAGCCTGCCTCACACCGTTTGACCTTTATTCACTCAGTAATTTTCTCTTCTCAAATGTTCGAGTCCTCTGTCATTGGCAATGTTGACCTATTTGCACCGAACATGATAATCAGTAAAAAAAAAAAAATGAAGTAAACAAAAAAGAAAAAAAGAATGGCTCAAGTGAGAAGAAAGTAAGTATAAATAAAATAATAAATCATTTAAAGAAGGAGAAAGAAAGAGAAGAAAATAAAATAAATATGGCTGATGCTAACCACCAAGAGAGCAACGCATAGCGCCTTCTCGGTCCTTACGTTTTGTACTGATATGAAGTTGAATGATTAAATTGAAACATTTGCTGGGTCTCCTACTTGGAAAGTTGATTCGCTGTGTCGAGTAAGACAATTTTTCTCGACACAATCTATATGGTCCATTTATAAGTGCATCCATGCATCGAATATTGCTACAGCATCTGGTTTAATGACACGGCTATCTATCTAGAGATTCTTCACAAAAACCAATGAAGAATCTGCATCTTTATCAGTGCTGACCTGACATCTCGGCTTCAGTCGCTTTCCCTCCGCCGTAACGTGGCTTCTCTCTGTCTTTCCTGTAAATATTTTCACAGTAATTGTTCTGTGGGGCTTTCCTCTTTGGTACGTGCACTTCAAAAATTTAAGCGTAGTACTAGATTGGAAGCTAGGTCTCATGATTTCATTGTTGAAAATTCTAGATTTAACCGTCAGTTCTATGCTAATAGTTTCTTCTTTGGCTTGTGAAACCTCCCTTCGGGATTCTTGCTTTCCTGTCAGCTACGATATTGAAAGATTTAAATGCAACATCAATTGTCTCTCTTCTTGAATACTATTTTCTACTGTACTCTCTCTCTCTCTCTCTCTCTCTCTCTCTCTCTCTCTCTCTCTCTCTCAGTAACTTCCTGTGGCTTGAGTTTTTTTATTGCCATGCTTGCGGTAAAATGTTAAATAAATTAAAATTAGATAAAAAAGAAATGGGTGAAAGAGAAAATAGAGACAGATATTTAAAAAAAAAGAAATATTTTTTAAAGTTCTAAAATTAAGTTTGGTTTGTTTTTGTTTCATGGCATATTAACCTCAATGGTTTATTTAATGCTGACAAGATTTTTATTTCTGGTAATATTTTCTTTTTTCAAATATTTATTGCTGATACTAATTTTTTTTTAAGTATTTCTGATATTAAAATCTATTTTTACACTTTCATAATGTTTTGAGTCAGGTTGCGGGGTCAACTATTTGCCCATAGCTGTGATCCTAACAGGTGCTACCACCCCGGGTCAGGGTGAACGTGGGAACACCAGCAATTAAGAGGTGGTTCTACGCTCCTCAAAACCTCCTGATCAGAGGCCTTGCTGCTGGACGTAGTTTATGGTCTTACCCAGGACGCGGAGGTAGTTTATCGTCATACCCAGGACGCGCTCTAAGCTTAAGTAATCCTGTGTAGAATGTTGAGAGACTGTTGCAAAAATATTCAAAGAAAATGAAAAAGGAAAGAAGAAAACAAAATGTAAATCCAAATTATTTATTCATCAGAAATGAAGATGTTTTTAAAGTCCAGATTCTTCTTATTAAAACAGTTTTCTTCTGACAGGGAATAAACTACACACAATTTACTGGCTTCGACCCGGACTTTTACACCCGGCTGTTACTCGTATTATCACGCGGACCGACCCGACTGATTTTTTTATTCGTTCTCATTTTTTTTATACCTCAAGTGCTGACGTCAAAATAGTCACAAAATCCACGGATATGTTTGCCTCAATGTGTTTCTTGAAGAGTAAAACATTTCTGATAACTATACATGCTTAGAAGCCGATAATTTGCAGGCTGATGATTTGATAAAGGTTTTAAATACTGTGTAATTTGTATCTTTCTGTTTAAATTATAATTAAATTTTTATTTTAAGTTGGTCTCTAAACACCAGGGAAAGCGTATCTTCTTAATAATTTTCATTAAATTACGTTCTTATTTTGTCTGAAGCTATTTAATAGAATACCTTCTAATTAAGCGCCGGTTTTAATTTGAGTCTGTCTAATTTATTTCACCAAATCTGACTTTATACAGATTTTTAACATTTTTCGTCAAAAAAAAACAAACTATAGTTGCATAAAACATTTTAGATGCATCGTTGCCGATTTCACGTTTTGCATCATATCGGCTCAAACGGCAACCCCGAACGAATCAGGCAGACTCTTTAAAAGCGTCGTGACACTCACCTCGGCACTGCAAAAGAAAATATTCCGACATGACTAGGAGACGAACCGTTCTTATTGAAATACGTCAATCATCGTCGGCCAATGAAAAAAAAAGGCTTTTCACGCCCCTCTCCCTCCTATATACTGGTGTCTTTTTACTTCTTCCGGTTTAGATTCGAGCTACTTCCCCCCGGAATCCATAACGAGGTAAGCTTCTCTTGCATAGTTTAGAATTGTATTTCTACATGTTTTTTTTTTTTTACATTAATATTTCCCATCGTTTATTTTTAAGCCCTTTTTGGCAGGTTGGACCGCCAGAATCATTTCCTTTTTTTTACATTGGAACTGTGAATTCGTTAACAATATGAAAGGTTAGCGTAAGACAAATATCTTGTTAGAAATTAATGATTCTCTTTTTAATCTCGTCTATTTTCCCATTGACGCGAGATTTTAGCACTCAGTCTAATGTCTCCGTTTATCTGTATTGATAGCTCTGAGGATATTAAAATGAAAAGAAGGAAGCAGTATAAGAGAAAAGTATTGGACATCTTCCAAATACGGCATACGTTGAATGAAAGATGAATGACATGTCAGCCGAAACATTCTATAAAAACAACAAAGATGTAGATAGTGGATTAAAATTTTTTTTTAGTTGTTGAAATGAAAGCAAATGTAGCAAAGCAAAAAATAAATTTGAGAGTAAAAAACCCTACGGTGTTCAATAAACGTATCACTGGATAAATGAAAAAGAAGGGATGTGAGAAAACTTTGTAAATCATTCTAAGTTATCACGTCCAGCAAAAAAATAGCTATGGTAAACACTATCCAAAATTAAATTTCGCTTTAAATGAATTTCGAACAGACTAAGAATAAGAATGATGGAATAACAGAACAACAAAATAAGAATACAAACAATAAACAAAACAGAATCGAATAAGAATTTGGGAAATTTAAACGCAAACTTTTTTAATTTGTTCATTCTGTAGTTTTTTTTTCTGTTTTAGATGTTTGTGATGAAAACGTTTTTCGAATTTTTATTTTCTGTTTTGTCAACACTATATTTGTTATAACAAATTTGGTATAGGAGAAAAGAAAATTAAACATAGAATAGGCTGCGCTTGATATAGTTTCGCCCAACACCTCCATTTGCTTCAAAACCAAAACATTAACCTGAAAACTTTAGCCATATTCTTAAATTACCTCATCAGATCGAGACTCTCATATGGACGTCATGTATGGCACCAAACCCGTTCAGAAATTACTAAACTGTCAGATGTATACAACCACTTTTTAAGACCAAATGATTAAAAATGGTTTTGAGTTCAAGGCATACGTATTCTGGCGAAGATCATCCTTCTTTGAAAATTGTAGACAGGCACTGCAGAAACACAAAGAACTGAATAAGAGAAACCACATCACTTGAGGACTACCAACAGCAGTAACAACTAAAATGAATATCACATGGAACTCGAAGAGAAAATAATGACATCATCAAGATGTTGATGTTCCACACTACTTCAAGCAAAAGGATAGGAAGGAAACTACTATTAATAGTAGAAAGAGCAATAACAACTACTGGACTTGAGAAATCTTTTTTTTTCTGAAGAATTGTTTTAAGAGAAAGATTTTCCACTCGAAAGCAGTACTGGTTGCTCGGCCAATGAATGCGAAATGTTTCCTTATAGGGAAATGGCTAATATTACCATGACCTATACCATTGCAAATCTTATTTACCCGGCCATTTTGTTTCTCTCATATTTTTTGCTCTTTTTCTCTCTCGTTCTTTTTCTGTCCATCCCATGATCGCTCATGAAAACGATTTCATTTTGTCCGTAACTTTTACAACTGTCATCAACATGCTGTTCGGACTCTCCTATCTCTTCTTTTTTTATAGTTAACACATTTCGACCGATTCATTCTTCAGCATTCGTAAAGTGTCCTCTGTTCTCACGGATCAAACCTGACAAAGGCTGGAAATGAGTCATTCGAAACATTGTATTAGTAAGAGATTAAATTGCCCTGACAATGTTGGTTGTTTTTACTTTAGTTTTTTCTTTATTTTTATTTTTATTTTTTTCATTTTCTTTTCATTCCTGGGTTATGGCCATATCCCGTTAAAAGGCCGATTGCCTTACTATCACTGAAGCTAAGCAAAGTCGAGCCTAGCCAGTACCTAAATGGGTGACGGCTTGGAAATACAAGGTGCGGTATGCTTGGATGATCGAGTGGTGTAATGGAATACGGCTCAGAATTTGAAATCAAAGAGCCGAGTTCTAACTCCACTCGGATTCGCTATATTCACTTACGCACAAATATCTTTAGGAAAGGAATGAATCTTTTTTTTCCCCAGGTATGGGTTAATTAGTAGTATTTACTTATTTCAGGTTATTTAAAGCCAGAAAATATTTTTAGATTGTAAGATTTTTTTTAGGTAATAACTGTTTAGTGATAGTTATTGTCGAAATTCTGAATGACGTATGTGATATGAATGGAAGATAAGGTGTTAGAAAGTGGGGATTATGACGATAAGGAGGATAGGGAACGGTTGACCCTAGAATTGAAGAGGTCAAGATTAAAATGTTCATGGAAGCAATTTGTCCCACAAGCATCGGTTCTCCGGGCGGGTGGAGCGACGGATTGGAATTTCATTTTATACATTTGGAATAAGGTAGAAATATGGGGGATTCGTTGAACTAACGTCAGCATTGATCGAACTAACAAAAAAAATAAAGATCATCTGAACATTCACCATGGAAATTTCGATGAAGTGTGAACAGCCTTGCAGCATGACGTCTGTTAGGAAAAAGGTTGCAGAGTGGAAAATAAGCCCCTACTCCTTCCCAAAAGATCGCGTAAACGTTTTACAATATCAAGGCTGAAGATTGCAGCCCAAATATGGTAGCAATACTCCATTTTTGTTCTACTCAGACTTCTAAAAATGCAACATGATAGAAAGAACCAGATATTTTCTAGAGCGACTTTCCCGCTTCTGTGTACCGGGTGTAACATTAAAATTGTCCAACTCGTTTAACAACATAATTATCCATCCCACATAAGGTTTAATATCTAAAAATCCATAAACTAATTGGTTTTCTTTTTCCATGCTTCCAGAAGAAAAAAAGTTTACCATATTGACAGCATTTATCGTAAGAATCATTGAAAAAGCATTTGGGTTAATCAGCTAGAAAGAGAACAGGTTAAAATCATTTTGTGTCAGCCCCACTATCTTCTCAACTGAGCAATGGTGAGAGGAAAAGTATAATTCAGGCCTTCAGTAATGGTACCAACATTCATACACTGGCTTCTATCTTCAAAGTCCATTCAAGAAACATCAAGAGAATGGTGAATAAGTTCCAAAAAAAAGGGGAACAGTAGAGAGGAAAACTGGATCAGGAGGACACAACAGCAAGAGGGATCATCATTTCAACTTAGAGTTAAAGAGATCAATTAGAAAAGATTCAACTCAATTCATAAGACGTTTGACACGTGAGAAAGGGGTTTCAGCTAGGACAGTTCAAGGGGCAGTGAAAAAAACTTGAATATGTAACCTTACGTGAAACCTTAATTTCAATCCTTCATGAGCTTCTGATTCTTAGCTATGATTAATTAATGATGACCATGTCATTTTCGTTTAAGCTCGATTTCATCACGGTTATTCTGTTAAGCTTGGAGATTAATTATACATTCTTACTGCTCAACGTAGAGCCCAGTGGTGTTATAAAAAAAACTCGGAGAATTCCAGTAAGATATATTTAATCATTTCAAATATACAACGGTTCAGAGCTTAATCTAAAAATTGGACAGTTTTGCTGTTACACCCGGTATATATGAGTTCCACTTCAGCTAATTCTCTCAATATAATATTTTGGGTGACGAATTATTTTCCACCCTGAAATACCTTTTTTTTTTCACAGCCGAAACATCGCAGGCCTCTGGCTGCTTTATCGCTATTTCCATGAATAGTTCCAACAGTTCTAACCCATCATGCCACACCCATTGTAGTGAACCACCCTCATTCCCTCCGTATTCCATTGGTGAGATGTAAGTTCCACTCGAGCAGCTTCTTCCCACGAACCGATGCTTTGTGGAACCGACTCCTAACAAAATGCTTGTTCGTTTACTAACCTGTTCAAGTCTAGGGTCAACCCTTATATCTCCAACACATTTTTTTTAATCATTTCACCCCAAGCAAGGCAGGAATGCCACTAGTACGCAGAAGGTTAAAGGGAGTGAAAATGCGATAAAAGACTGAGTATACGGAGGATTGAGGAAAGAACAAAAGATGAACGGGATTCAAAAAGATAAAAGATGGCGATTGACGTTGCATTTAAATTTTTGAAGATTGTGTTTATCAGGAAAGCAAGTAAATGGAAGGGAGTTCCACAGGCGGGAAGTACGATAAAGGAAACTTTTGGAGTAAAAGTGGTGTTTGCATTTAATTCATCGACCTCCGCCGGTCATCAATGACCATGGATTTGATCCCCACCCATCTGGCCTGGAACATTTCCGCACAGTGATAGGCGTAAGGTAGGATAAAGCCCGGGCAGGATGTTGTCCATACAGCATGTCCCCCATCACCCTCTACGTCGCTGGTGGATCCAAAGCAACAGCAAAGCCGTTACAGTTTGACGCCAGCGCCGTCGCAGGAATAAGGCTAAAATTAGTGACGTTCTGCTTTTCATTTACCTTTTTCAATAATAAACAAGTTGTACCTATATGCCAATCAACTAGCACGCTTCAAGTCATGTAGTCAGGGCTTTGCCTCTTATTCTGTAAGCCTCTACTTCGAGTGGCTCTTTGGGCCTTGTACAAGGTGAATCTCATTGTAAAAAAAATATTTGCACTCTTATAATTTGTCGAGGAAATCTTCGCTTTCTGCTGTGTTGGCTTTTTTTTTTTTTTTCATTTTTTTTTCATCCTCTTTCTACTCCTTTGAGGTTCCCGGTAAGTCTGTTTCCATTGTTTTTTGTACAATTTCGTCTGCATTATTTCAGCTCGATGTCTGCATCTCTTTTCAGTCCCCCCTCTTTGGGTAAAATTAGTTGATTTAATTCTTCTGACGCAGCTGATTCACTTTTTTTGTTCGTATACTTGAGTTGTTTGTTGATTTTCTTTTTACTGTTTCGCCTCTCTCAACAAATTCATAATTTGATCATTTGTTTCCCCACTTTCATTTCGTCTGGCCAGTTTTAGTATTTTTACTGATTACTGGTTACGAGTCTTTCATAAGACTTTCCCTTTCCCCCCTCCCGCCCTTTTTCGCAGAGACGCGTCTTTTAAATTGTCCAATCCTGTTGTTTGTCTTAACACTTAATAATATAAACACCTGCCTACAGGCAAGTTATCAGTTCACTCTTCTTCTTCTTCTCCTCCTCCTACTCCCCCTTTTCTTCTTCTTTTTTCTTCTTCTTCTCCTCCTCCTTTTACTTCTCCTCCTCCTAATCCTTCTTCTTCTTCTTCTTCTAATCATTCTTCTTCTTCTTCTCCTTTTCTTCTTTTTTCTTCTTCTTCTCCTCCTCCGTTTTCTTCTTCATCATCTTTTCTTCCTCCTCTTTCTCCTACTTCTTCTTTTTTTTCTTCTCCTCCTCCTAATCCTCATCCTATTTCTTCTTCTTCTTCTAATACTCCTCCTTCTTCTTCTTCTTCTTCTTCTTCTTCTCTTCCTTTTTCTTCTCTTCAACCTAATCATCCCCCTCCTCGGCTTTCTTCTTCTCTTTCTCCTCCTTCTTTTCCTCCTCATCCTTCTTCTTCTTTTCAACCTCGTCCTTCTTCTTCTTCTTCTTCTTCTTCTTCTTCTTCTTCTGTGCACTCTGTCCCTTCAAGGCATGAGTGATCGTGGCTTTCCACAACTTCCTATCCACTGAATCTCTCAGCAATATTTGTCTACTTATTTACTACTCCCAGTCCCATCCATTTACACAAATTCGTTAGTTTATTCGCTGTTTTGCCTGCTCCTCTTGCCTTCAGTGTGCCCTGTGAGTGCTATATTCTCCAAGCTCTCTTTCCTCAGTATGTTTCCTATAGATTTCAACTCTCTCTTTCTTGTCTGCTTTTTATTCCCATTTTCCTTCAAACTTCCTTGTTTCTCACATGTTCCGTCCATGGTATTCACAGTATTCTTCAGTAGAACTAGATTTCTGTTGCTTCAAATCTCTTCTTCATTTGTGAAAAAATTGTCCAGCATTCACTATCATATGTGAACATTTGCATTACTTGGCAGCTCTATACTCTTTTCTTTATTTCTAACGAAACTTTCTTGCTTTTTAATACTTTGTTTAACTTTTGCTAAAGACCATGCTTTCTGTCTTCGTACAATTGATAGTTAACAGAATTAAATTCTCGATTGGATTTTTCTCAGGGATCAACTATTTGAGCAAACATCAAGTGAAAAGAATCACTTTTTGCTGTGCTTTGCTACCGCCATATTTTTATTGCCTTGTGTGTGTGTGTGTGTGTGTGTGTGTGTGTGTGTGTGTGTGTGTGTGTGTGTGTGTGTGTGTGTGTTCGTAGGATGTATAATATTATCCAAAACAAACGTGAAGATGATGGGAGAAAAGTGGAAAATTTAGATCGACCCGTTTCGCCAGAGCGTCTGCCCTCTTTAGCTTCCTAAAGTTAGAATGAAAAAAAAACAAAAACAAAAAAAAAACTGTATATGAGGAAAAATGCATTGGTATCTGTGAGGTTAAGTAGAAATTATAAATCAAATTAAATTAGATACCTTCTCATCCCCAATGTCCAGATTCAATAGAGTGCCTGTCCGTCTGTTTGTTTTATACAGGAAACTCAGCGTAGCATATCCACACTTTCAAGTCCAGTATAGGAGTGTGGAGCCATCGCTCTCAAGATGCTGCTGTGATTTTTTGTAGTAAATTGTTTTTTTTACCGTGTGAAGTTACTAGCTCCATGCCCAACCGGTGTTGAATTTAGGGTTGTTCTCCTCGTAGACTAGTTGGCAACCAAGGCTGAAAATCCTACTATTTAACCTATAGCTGGAGGAAGACGGATATTTACAAAGAGATTTTTGCGCGAAAGTGAATGTAACGAAATCGGCTGAATGCATTTAAATTCATTAGACAAAAATCACATTCACTGGCGCAACACTATCTTCTCATAAATATTTCTCTTTTAGCCTAACATTAGTAAATATCAATGATTCTATTCTTTATATTCTTCTAAGCAATTTTTTTTTCATCTTCATGGAAGTATAGGGAACTAGATTTTTTGAAATGCTGGTCGAGTGCATCAAATAAAAGTGTTCTGAAATCGACAAAGAAAAAGTAAACCAAGAAGAAAAAAACCCAAAAAGCACATGATTGCAAGATGGCTGTCTTTTCGCTTTCTATTTTCTTTTTCTTTTCCTTAATATTTGCAGTGACATTCAACTACGAACAAAAAAAAAACTCTCACAGAGAAATAGAAAGTCTAAATGTGATGTTTTCAAACACATTAGGATTAAGTGTGCTTACGTCGCAGATGTCGCCGACAGACAATTGCACTGATTTGCAGTCAATTCAGGTGTGACAAAGAGACATTTGTGCAAAACACCTAAAGTTATTTTCAAAAAAGAGAAAAATCTTAAAATAAAGGCTATTCTAAATTTCAAAATCTGTTACCTGGTTCTATCTGCAATTATTTGTAGCAGACTTACCATATCCTTAAACGTTATTTACAGTTTGTAGAGATACTAAACTCTGTTTTTAAAGGAATGCCGAAGTGTTTTCTAGTTTTGCTGCTATTTACAAAGTTAGTAAAACCTAAGTCTGCTCAGAGAGAAAAATGAATGATCTTTTTCAAAAGCTTCAAGAGGAAATAATTATGAATAGATAATAAAGAACAAAAACAGAAATAGTCACAATAATTTATTTAACTAATAATGCTATAAATGAATCCGTTCACTAACTACTGAATATTTGCATCACAATAATAACTGTCTATTGAGTTTAACTTAAATGTGGCGCTGAGATCGATACGTTGGCTCTCCGGAAAAAATATCCAGCTGTTTATTAAAAGATTCTTACCTTGGGAAATGGCATCTTGGTCTATTCAAAGTATTCTACTTTTCACTATTTAACTTATCCTCGCTATCAGTTTTCGAACTGTGTATTTTTTTCATGATTTCCATCGGTTTCACTCGTTGCGATTACTTTATCCGCGCCATTTCAATGGAGTTTGGTAGGGTTACCCTGTCTTATTAAATGGATCCTAATTTAGCTATGGTCTGAAAGATATAACTTAAGTCTTATTCATAAGCATGCTGTGGTATTTCCAATTATACAGCAATTTGTTATCATCAACGCAGTTCCTTAAGGTGCATGTAAGTCCATATATAATATAGTTCCTCTGTAATTTGAATCTGGCGACTGAGTATATATATATATATATATATATATATATATATATATACGAGAATAAATCCTAAAAAGCCAGTCAAACCTACCCAGGTTTCATCTAAACGGATCTTCAGAGTAAAGTGGCTAAAAAAAGGAAATGACGGAACACTATTTATTGATAAAAAAAATTAAAAACTAATAAGCATATCTAAGCATAATATATATATATATATATATATATATATATATATATATATATATATATATGAACAAATTGAGATAGACAAACTGGTAATGAGATATATATGGAAATAGATATGAACAGAATGAGATAGATAGATAGATAGATAGATAGATAGATAGATAGATAGATAGATATCGCACATTGGGTGTTGGTGTTAATAAAATAGTGCTCGTTGTAATATAACAAAGTTATTATGTATATATTAATAAATATTTTTTCCTCACCGGTAGTACGACCCTGAGTTTCATGTACAACGCAATCTTCAGGTGCTGATAGCGTTGTGCCTTAAACTCCGAGTCGTGATACGGGTGACAATATATATATATATACTGAACATTGAAATTAACTTCCAAACAGCCTGTTATATATATATATATATATATATATATATATATATATATATATATATATATATATATATATATATGAATAGATAGGATCGCCAATGTGCGATATCTATCTATCTATCTCAGTCTGGATTTTAGTGTTTATTAATAATATATATATATATATATATATATAATACCAATTTATAATTCGTAAGGATAATTCCAGGGGTTTGGCCATTAATCCAAAGAGTGCTCAATGTTAGTTACAGAGCAATATGATAATAATAAATCAAGAAAAACCTTAAAAATCTATCTCGGTTATAATTTTTTTCATGAATATTTTAATATTCATGTTTTTTTAGAAATGGAATCAATCCATCCAGACAGATATATCGGGATAAAAAGCATATCGGTGGTAATTATCTCCAAGACTGGCTTTCTAACCACTACGTTGTTGGGCATTAGTGTATATCTACAATTATATGTATCCTTAAATTTATGCAAAATTCTAAATCAAGTGCAAAAAAAAACTCTCATAAATAGTTCTCCCTTTCTGAGGAAACTACTATGCGGGATGATATTTAAAAAAAATAAGAAGCGCCAAGAAAACTTGGAATTTTTTTGCTACTTGTGATTTGAAGGTTCCTGAATATGTTGAAATCTATGAAGAATTTGTCGACATCGATCACTGCCTACATTGTTCCAGTAACAATGAAAACTTTGAAGATTAAATTGTTGAGTAAACGGCAGCAAATCATTATGAAATGAACAGAAGACTAGAATGTGGACAAGAACGATAGGCCTAACTTTGAAAGCAGGAATTAAGCAAGAAATAACGATTGTTTTTAAATCGGTTTCACCCCCTGCAAGGCAATGAAGCCACTAAGACGCAAGGGGGTTACTGGGTGTGGAAGAATTAGGAACACAAACATTAATAATGAGCGGAAAGAGAAATGAGTGATCAGGATGACAGTAGATAGCGATTGACACTGCATTTAAATTTTTGCAGATTAAAGTTGGTTGGAAAGCATGGAGCCGGAAGGGAGTTCCACAAGCAAGAAGTGCGTGGAAAGAAACTGTTAATGTAAAACAAGCTGATAAACTGTAAACTGATGAGATCTAGACGCCAGTCTCGTACTGCGATTAAATTCATAAAATCTAGCTGCCATAGCGAAGAACTCATACGAACAATTACCATGAAAGTATTTATAGTAAAAGAAAAAGGAGAGGCAAAGTGACTGAAGCCGAGCCACCAAATTTTGGATCTTATCAAGGAGCTCAAGTTAAATAGCAGGGTCACTGGATCATATGTGGCAACAATATTCTAAGCATGGTTGAATGGTAGACTTATAGATATGTAAGATGGATTCCGGAGAGAAAAATTGTCTTGCAGTGAACCAACTTTCTTAGCAGCTAATTTGGCAACGGATTTAATATAATCTTTCCACTTCATATGTCAGCTGAGAAAATGGAAGTGGACTACGAATGTTTTTGTTTTTTTCATCTTGCAAGTATTTAATGAAGAGAGACGAAATGGCCTCCTGGTCACGATAAAATGAATTCTAAAGTCAAAAAGAATAATATAGCAATGAATTCGGTACTTTCACCACTTCAGCCAACAAATCAACATTTTTCTTTCGTTTTTATTAATTCTATTCGCGACAAAATAATTATCTTTAAAATAATCCATACGTTAGCACTCAGTTTATAATTGGGATAAAAAGAAGCGAAAAGATTGTATTCCATCAATGAGATCAAAGATTATAATTCGTTCTTAGTAATAACAACGAAATAATTATTTTTAAAATTTCATGGCTCTCCACGGCTTCCTTTTTTATTATCTGTGTATTGCCTATCTTCTTGGGAAAAATAGTGGAGTGATTTTCCCTTGCCTTCTTCACAATTTTAAAATCGGTGTGTTATTTCT